GGGGGGGTTCCCCGCCCGCCCGTGCGGATGTGGGCCGGTTGTTCTGTTTGCCTTTCGCGGATCATTGCCGGCGAGCGGGGGAGCCAATCATTGCACCTTTACGAGAGGAGCGGAGCGGAGCGTGCGGCCGGCCCGGGCTTGTTGACGCCGCCCACCCCCCACACTCTCCCCGCGCCGCTGTAAAAACATCCTCTGGAAATTATTGCCACGCACGGTTTACAACACTGTTAAAAATATTTCGTGATTTCCAAAACGCTTTTCACGATACGATAGCAACTGTGAGATCACAACACTTCTTTGTAGTCAAAGTTAAAAATTGTGCATTTTGCTATCTTACTTTGAAATAGATGTGAACCAATCCTAATATTTCCTGAAGTTAATCAATTTCGAACAATGACGAATTCTTCGAGAAGTTCCTCTTTTTTCAACAGTGTACACAACTTGTCGTGATTTTACGAGTTGCTTTATAATTTCCAAAGCTCTAACCAAATAATATTAAATTTGAATATAATTTGCCAAAAAAAATAATAGTGAGCCGAGAATTCCTGATCATTACGAAAAATTGACGCTTACGAAATATTTCGTTCAAACTATGTCGTTACAATTTTTTTCCTTAAATCAGGAAAAAATATTACAGTGGCAGAGACAACCAGGCTCAAGCACGTTCTTCTGCGTGGTTTCACGGGGTTTCCGACCAAGTTTTGGGTCCTTTCGATGCACATTATGCTCCGAGGGGGTTTTCACTCGGGAATTTTCGTGTACAGTGTATTACATAGTACGGGTAGTGCGCGGTACTACGCCGGTATCCCATAGGCTTTGCTACCAAAATTCCACCATATTGTAGAGCATATTTTCCTATTTTTCGGTGTACTAGGCGTAATACCTAGTTTAGGTGTACGGTGTATTACTCAAGTGATACCCCCTTTCGTTATGCCCACACACTGGAAACGCAAGTGTGTGAATGTCGCTCACCTACAAGTGTAGGAAACACACTTACTTGTGTTTCCATTGCACACACACACACACTGGGCCAGCCAGTGCGCAGGAGAGCGCTTCTCGGAAACCTCGCGGATTCTTCGGAACGCAAAGAGGTGCGCGGCTCTCTCGGCGGCGAGCCGCCAGTTTGCGCGAACCCTGTGCCAGTCGGCCGTACTATTGCGTTGCGTTTGCAAATTAGGGGCGCCCCTCTAATTGACTCCTTTTCGGAAATGAATTCTCTCGTGTCCTGCGACGCGCGTTACGTTCAGTTGTGCGGCGCGGAGTGGTGGTGAAATGGCCCCGCGGGGTGTGGTGGCCCGACAAGTTTCATAACTCGCAGAAGTAGTAGTCGCGTTAGTCGCGTATAGTCGCCCACTCACTCCGCTCCCTCCACAAAGCGCGTCTAAGTGACTTAGCAGCGCACCGCGCGGCCCACCACCATAGCAGTGTGCGGCGGCTCCACAAAGCAGCGTTGCGGTGGCCTCACCGCGACCCCGCCGCGAGGTACCTGCCCCTCCCCCTCACAGCAAACATTTATACGGGAAGTACATTTTCTGCTCGCTGCAAATATTGTAACATGCATAGATATGACGAAAAATAGCATCCGTAAAATTGCTTTGATCCGGATTCACCCGGGAACTTTCCGGAAAATTATTTGCCCCTTATTTGCTCCTTTCTCCCTCCCTCCCTCCCTCCGTTTCTCCGTCCCCCCGTCCCGAAGTTAAGGTACATCGTACATCGCGTACGGAGTGGATCGTATAGTCCCAAATCACGGTCGTGGACACGATAGCAATGATTTGACGGGGCGCACCGTACACTGAAAATCTAAGTGTTCAACTGCTCAACACTTGCAAGTGTGCAACTGCAAGTTGAATACTTGCAAGTGTTCCACTCGGTAGGTGTGCTCTTAAGTGTGCAACTCCTCGGTTGAGCACTTCCTACACCAGCGATCGTTCAATCTAACAAGGGAACCCCGCATTCGTTGCAAAAGCTGCTATTTCAACAATTTTTTGTAATTTTCAAGAACGCTGTCGAAGGGGGTAACTTGTCAAATTGGAGGGGAAATGTACGGGAATCACTAGGGCTTAAGAGCAGCGGTTGTAAAAAGCAGTCCTACAAAAAATGTTATAAAACAAAAAGTTGAAGAAAAATGTAAGCTCTTTAAGTAAGATATCTGACTCTAGCATTTTCAGTGCAGTTGAACACTTAGATTATCAGTGTGTACACATATTCCCCGTAGGTTTTTTTAACAGTGGCGCTGCCTCCGCGGGGGGAATGAATATGCGCGAGCACCAAATGGCCCGCAGAAAGGGTGTAAATAAAGGGGGAGTAAGTAAGGCTGCTCCTCCCCCCCCCCCTCCCTCTCTCTGGCCGTCGCGAGTAATTGTGACGGAAGAGGGCGTCGCCCGCGCGCACCTCTACAACAGTCAGAGGTGACTGCCGTATACTACGTAACACACCGTGGAAGAAACAACGCCCCGCACCCAGCCAGGGTCTAAATAAAAAAAATTGCGCCTCTGTTCTTTCTAAAGTATACAGTTTGAAACCTGTACTTCCAGTGTGTCACTGATGAAGATTCTACAGGGCACCCCCCCCCCCTGTAAACATTCACACACTTATTTTATAATTATATTTTGCGATTTTAAAACTTTGTTTGTTTGTAGGATTTTTTTTTCGCAGAGTAGGCGCGTGGCAGAGCAGGAGAAGCCACTTACGGCAGACCGCGCCGTCTGCCGACCCGTCCAGCGGCAACTTTGAAATTACAATAAATTTACAATCTGGAGAAGCGAACGTGCCCCCCCCCCCCCCCCTGGAGAATACTTAACTTTGTGTGAAATTTGTTGATAACGTATTGTACGTATAAGAAATGCGACACGGGGCACATGGCACATGCCCTAAACACGTGAGTTTTCTTTTTACTGCGTTTTTTGTTATTTCACTTTAAAAAGCCTTTACTTCGGATTTTACCCATTATTACTTGTCAAGTATTACTAATATACCAAGTGGCTGATTAACCCCGCTCACTTCTGTAGTTATGCTGTACCGCAGTGCGGGCGGGTTTACCCGCGCCGCTCGTAAGACGCCGTGGACAGGGGCGATAGGCAAGCCCGTCCACACTCGTGC